CTGCGGACTAGGCGCCGGTGCGAAGCCGCCTCCCCGGGCGAGGCGCACTGCTGCTCCGGGTCGGTCCGCCCAGGCGCGGGCACGCAGACACACTCGCACACACTGGCTGGCGCCGCCACAACCCGCCAGCCGGTGTGACAGGAGCCCTGCTACCCGGAGCGAAAACCTGCCCTAGGTACGGAGCATGCGCCAAAGCCTTCCCCAGCCCCCGAAGAGTTTCCAGGGGAGGAGTCCGCGGCTCCGCGGGGCTCGGAGCCGGCAACTGGGGGTGGGAATCTCTTCAGCCTAGAGCCAGGAGAGATTCGGGAGAAAGGCAAAGGCGGAGCGAGGTCAGGATCCGAGGAGATCGTCGCTGGCGCTGATCCGAGACCTCCAAATCCGCAGCTTTCTTAATCTGAGAGTGGACAGAAATCTGGCCAGTCTGTCTGCAGGGATAACACCTGCCCACTGCTGGGGAGACTCACCTAGGCAAGACTTGTCAGGAGTTGGCTGGTCCCTCGCCGGCAGGGGATGTTGGCTCTACACTGCTTTTAATCTCGACACAAGACGTTGTAACTGGTGCTCAAGTTTTATTCTGGTCCTTCCGCACGTACAGACTCGGTGTGTCCAACTCTACAACTTTATTCAACCAGCATCCATTCATCAATTACCCATGAGGCGCCTACTGTCTATCAGGCTCTGTATTCGATGCACACTTCGTTTCTTCCAGTACCAGATAAGTCCAGCCCACAACCATGCAGCACTTAGATCGTAAGAGGAGTTTAGGGGTCACCTCGTAAAATTCATCCTACTAACACATGCTGAGCTCCTAGATGTGCGAGATTCACCCGCTCTCCCCGCCCCATGGCGGACAATAAGACCTCTACTTACCTGTATTTCACAAGCTAAAAAGCTCTTGATTATGTGCAGATTTTAACTTTATTTTTCAAACATCTAAATTTTGCATTTTTCTGAGAAACAAATCTTTAACAACAGTTTCTCTTCTTCAGATAATGAATGGAGTAAAAAATCGGAGTAACTACCCCTCCACAATTCCTGGACTTGCTTGACCCAGGTTGAGAGTGGCGGTGTATTGAAGGTGGACACAATGCAGTTTGATTCCCTGACTCAGGTCAACATGTCCCTCCTGGGTACCCTGCCAGTCCTAGTTTCCCACACCCAACATCCCAGTCTTCGTAGCATCCAGCCTTCCCACCTGGCCTCTTTATGGATCTATGCGGTATTTGTCTCTGTAATAAATAAATAAATAAATAATAAATAAATAAATCACTGTGCTGATTTATTTCGTCAGACTGTCCCCTTCACAGCCATTAGTTAAGATCCAGATTTCTTTCAAGGATGCTAACGCTTGCCCAAAGGAAGTTATTTTTATTGTTCTAGGCAGGTTGGATTCTTCTAAGAAAACGTCCCTCCTCTGCTTCCTTTCCTCTTTTCAACTCTATAAACAACCACCGTGTCCTTCCTGAAACTGTATGAGACTATATTAGTAAGAAAGGTGTTAAGATAAATCAGTTTCCTTAAAGCTTACTTGATTCTATTTCTCTTTTTCTCACTTAAAGTTTAAAATCTATTAATGGCATCACATCACTCTCCAAAGCAGGAAACTGTGATAGAACAAAATCCAGTAAAATCCAACAATTATTTCCTGAATGCATCTAGTTAATGGTGTTACTTATTTTTTTAAATATGCCTTTGCTTTAGCAAAGTAAAACTCTATTATACCTTTTTGTATTACTTTATTTGAGAAGTTTCTTGTTTTCTATAAAATCACTTGATATCGAATGGATAAATACAACCTCATTAGCTACCCAAATGTATAACCTGAGTACTAGCGGCAATTTGTATAGTGGAAAGCACTTTCCTAGCCATTATCTCATTTGCTCCTCAGAACAACACTCTAAGGAGATTAGAGAAGTACAGTCCTCCCTTTTTTATGGCTGGGGGGAAAGGGACTGGTTTTAAGATCCCTCTCCCAAATCCTGGGATGCTCAAGTCCTTTATATAAAATGGTGTAGTAGTTACATATAACCTATGCACATCTTCCCATATACCTTTAAATCGCTCTAGATTACTTATAAAATCTAATACAATGTACATGCTAGGTAAATAGTTGCTGGCACACAGAAAATTCAAGTTTTGCTTTTTGGAACCTTCCGGAATTTTTTTTTCACATGTTTTCTGTCCTTGGTTGAATCTGTGGATGCAGAACCTGGGATACAGAAGGCCAACTGAATAATATACCATTTCAAAGATGAGGAAACTTAACCAAGGGAAACTAGGTGAAAGCAGAGACAATTAGAAACCACTTACATCCTTGAAATACATTCAAATCACCATTTAAGAAATCCAATGAACATCAACACAGAGCCCATAATTTCCGCTCTCCTCTTTTGAGATCCTTTGAGTCAAGAGGCAGGAAGAGACACAGAATTGCAATAGAACAATTAAATTATTTTCCCTCTCCCTCTGGCTTTACAGGCAAAGCTGAGAAATCGCTACATCCTGCATCGTTTTGGAACCTCGTCTGTGACTTTCCAGATAAACAGGGGAAAGACAATGACAACCTTAACCTGATTATAATATCATTGTTAAATTATTTAGGAGAATTTCAGGAGAAGATATTATAGCAAACAAATATAACAGCTATGTTGCTAACAAAATGTATGTTTCCATAAATAAGTGCACTTTTAACTTTTTTCAAAGAACATTATCCCAGAAGATCTGTTTCTGCTTTCAGTAAAATAACTAATGGAATGCCATAATTTCCTTGAGGTAAACACAAGGAAAGCAACCCATAGAATCAAGCAATTATGTAGATAATTCAGGGATATACCCAAATATTCGTTTTTTTAATGATAGATAACTATGGTTGTGTTAACGGTCTGCCTCAGGTGTGCTCTTCCTATTATAGTTGTGGAGCTTGGCATGAACCTAATCAAAGCTCTTAAATCACACACAATAAACATGCTTCCTTATCTACAAGGGCAGACCTCACATTCAGGTGAAAATGAATAGAAAGTTTCTAAAATTGAATGCTCTCCTGGTAAAAGGAAAAACATGTTTGCATTCAGCTCACTACAGTTACTCCACAATGACACCAGCTGGCAATTGTTTCTGGCTAATAGATTGCAGCTACTATGATTCCTACACAAATTATTAAAATAATAAAAATAATGTTTTCAAAGAGCTTTCTTCCACTTCCTTTGCCAGTCTTGCGATGAGGTTGACGCTATCTGCGAAGCAATTTCTTCACCTAATTTTATGCCTTAATAAGCTGTACCACAATTACGTTCTTGCCTGATTCCTTCTCTGCCTTAACTTCAGTACTCTTCCTCCCTGTTCTTCTCAAATATTCTCAAACGCATTAACAACATTGCACCCCCCTAGGATTCAAACTTTTGATTAGAACAGTCCCCATTTAATCAAGTTCAGTTGGGAGATGAAATTGCATCTCAACTTCTCCACTTTCCCTTTGGTGCCAGAAACTGCCTTTGAGAATGCTGAGGAAACCCTGGAGAGATTAACAATCCAAACAATCACAGAGAATAGTTTCGGATCCCCTACATTTGCACACAGGAGTATATGGATATGAATGCCCTTCAATACAGATGAAAAACAAACTAGATTGTGTAAGTCATTGGCAGCGTAAACCTCGCCTTCAAGGATACCAAGTGCTCTTATACACTGAAATAATTTTTTGTTTTCATGTTTGTAAACAAACAAAAAAAAGCCCCGCAGGATAAGCAGTTTTGCAAATGACCAGCAAAGCAGTAGCTTTCTTTTTCCAGAGGACGTTAAGCAGAAGAGTTTGTACAGACAGGGCAAACTGCAGAAAGAATGGTGATATTTACTGAATGTACTCCAGTTCACTACATGATTGTAACTTTGGGACAACCATAATCCTACATACTGCTTCCCATAAAGTTCTATTTATATGAACAGTTCATTCTTTGCTTTATTGTATGATACTCTTCATCCACCACTGATAGGCGCCTAAAAGTGATGGATGGAAGCTATGCTACCTGTATGCACAATGTCAGTATTGTATAAGCAGATGCAATAGTCTTTTCATAGTAGATATTCACTTATTTCTTTAACAAGAACTTGTTAAGCACTTAATATATACCAGGTGCTCTTCTGAGTGCTTTGGATATTGCATTAAACAAGACCTGGGCTTCCCTGGTGGCGCAGTGGTTGAGAGTCCGCCTGCCGATGCAGGGGACACGGGTTCGTGCCCCAGTCCGGGAGGATCCCACATGCCGCGGAGCAGCTGGGCCCGTGAGCCATGACCGCTGAGCCTACACGTCCGGAGCCTGTGCTCCGCAACGGGAGAGGCCATAGCAGTGAGAGGCCCATGTACCGTAAAAAAAAAAAC